GATGATTTAAGAAAAACAGTTTCTATTATTCCTATAAATAGTAATTATGATTTTTCATACCTGCACATTACATACAGTAAAATATGTTAAGTTCAAGTGTATAATTTCTCTTTATCTTTGACTTTCTTGGTGTATAAGTAGAATTATGAAACTCAACTAAAAGTCTATCTGAAGTTATTATGCAAATCACATAAACCTCAATAACTCAAATTTGTATTGAACATTTTTATCAGATTGTAAAGAATTTATTTAGATATAAAAACAAAGATTGAGTTAAATTTTTAGGTAGTTTGAACATGTTTTATTAAAGTTATTGGATTTATTACAAAAACTACTGTCTGTAGTTATTTCATGCAGATTAAATTAATATTAGTTTAAGGCTTCTGAAATCTAATAAAAACTAATTTTTTCCATAATATGTTGAAAGATGGGTAATAAAAAGGCTCTAACAAATATTGAAAAACAGAAAATAGCAATGTTATTCAGTGAGGGAATGTCCACATTGGATATATCAAAGGAGTTTCACAGAAATCATTGAATGATAAAGAGGGCTGTTGTGAACTAGAAGCAAAGGAAAAGGTTTTAAGAACTAGTCTCCTAAAGCAAGTTATAACACAACAACAACTTTTGACCAGTGCTCAGATATTTTATCAGGTTGAAATTGAGGGATCCAAAGACAAAAAGCATCGAATACTTTGTAAATTGGAATCTACCAAGAAATCTCCTAGGCAAACTACTCTCAGTAAAGCAAATGTTTTAAAGCATCAAAATCGTGTCAAGAAATACATGAAAGTTAACTTTTCTAAAGTAATTTTCATGGATCAATCTTGGGTGACACTTGATGGGCCTGTTGAATGGACCAAAGGATGGATTCTATCTGATGCACATGTGCCTGTGGCTAAAAGAAGGCAGCAAGGAGGTGGCACTCTGATAATATGGGCTGGAATTGTCAACCAAACCATTATTGAACCATCCAAAGTTGATGAAGTAGTTAAACTGAATTTCATGGACAAGACTTTCTTTGAATGGTACAAGTCCCAGCCTTGCAGTTTCAAAGTGAAGTGTGTATTTATGCACGATGCTTCTTATGTATCTAAGGTTACCCATGAATTTTTTGAGTATAAAATATTTACAGTAGGGAAGATAATAGAATAGCCACCATCAAGTTCCAATCTAAATCCAATCAAAAATCTATGGTCAGTTGTGAAGATGAAATTACATGAAGGTGGCAAACAATATAACGCAAAAACAGACCTATGGAAAGCAATTAAAACCATTATGTTGGAAACCAAACCTACTGAAGTAAAAAAAAAATTAAGCAAGATCAATGGATAATAGATTTCTGGTTGTTGTTGAGAAGGAGGGTCACTATATTAAGATGTAAATGCTTCAAGGACTTATCATATGTTTTTTATTTGTTCTAGTATAGGTGTTGATCAATTGTTGATGATTTTATTAACTTTTTATTGAAGTAAACAGTAATTTTTCTGGTTTTGCATAACTATAGACTATAGTTTTTATAAGAAATCCAATAACTTTAATTAATAATATTGGAACTATCTAAAAATTTAACTCAAGCTTTGTTTTGACCTCTAAATTAATTGTTTAAAATTTGATAAAAATTGTTCAAAGCAATTTCTGTTCCAATATAAGGATTTTATTTTGCAACAAGTATTTATGTGCAGAAGTAAAAAATGTTGATTTTTCAGAATTTTTAAATTGAAGAACACTCATAAATATAAAAATAATATAAATAATAATTTCATTATAAAAAAAAGAAATTCAACAACAATGACATTTACTCACTTTCGTTTATTAGTCATTAAATTACATCACTTAGTATCCTCCATAGTTTACTTTAACTTTCATTGTTGGTCTGATGTATATTTATTAGCATTCTGAAATGTAAAAATTCTGGAAAACTAATGATATTTTTACTTCTGTGTATAAATACTTGTTGTAAAATAAAATCCTTACTTTTGCCTTGATAAAATCTATCAGAGGATGAAACATGTCAGCTAAGATAAATTTTCTTTTTGTCATTATTCATATTGTCTTTTTACAAATATATTTTTAGTTATATCTGAATTTTTACATATGTATATATAATATTTATTTTGTTCCATAAATATATAAACACTGTATTTCCTGCTATATAAGATGCACATTTTTTACAAAAACATCCTCCTGAATAAACTTTATCTTATACCCTGATAGTTTGGTTAAACACTACTGATATACTAATCTCCTGAATACCCAAGAATGAAATATGTATGATTATATATCAAAATATTACTAAATTGTATACAACAATTACACATCAGTATTATAATTAGTTTTAGTTCATAAATATTCCTTGCTAAATTATACTTGTAGGTTATATGGTAGGAAATATGATATGTGTAATTTATTATGTATATTATTTTAAAAATTTAAATTTATTATTTCAAATTATGTTTTTATTTAACAAAATTTGACTTAATTTACTAAAAAGTTAACACCTAACATCAGTTCTCTTACTAAATAGCATGGATATCTTTAAAAAACATTTTCATTCTCTTTCAGCTTGGTTTGCTTTTAAAAATAGTTTTCTAATTGCTCTTTGCCAAAAATATTGCTGTCATGGTGCTGTGCGAATAACGCAACAAGTCATGGGAAATTTTAAATTTTTTTTGCATAGGGAAATTGTTTCATAAAATAACTTTTAGGTTTTTTTATGAAGTATTTGGTAAGAAAATAATTTTAATTTGAAATAACTAAGATAAAAATAAAAGAAAAAAACAGTTACAAAAAACACACTTGCTTTTATACTGCACTAAAATGCATAATGGTTTCCTGTACTATTTGTATGTAAATCAAACCCTCTAAGTTTGATTTATGCATACAGTACTTTTTAAAAATAAAAGTTTAAGTATATAAAATAAGAAATAAGTATATAATAAACTCGATATTACCTGGAATAATTACCTGTACTATCTTTGAAGGAACAAGAATGTATTTATAAATCCTCTGTTTAAAAGTACATCATTGAGCTCTCTAGAAATTAAAAATTAATAAACCATGGTTATTCAGCAGTTTTCACCTCTTACTCATTGGTTCTTTTCATATAATAATTTAATTCGATCAATCTTTTAAAGTAACTTTTAAAGTATTTTTTGTAATAAACTGATCTTCCTATAAGCCAAAACAAGCACTGACATTTTTACAAAAGACAATAATGGTGAAGTAAAGATGAAAAAACTGTTGTTTAGTTCAAGCATAAAACTGGATGTTGGCCAAAGAGTTTAATCTTATATTATTAAAGCTCAGAAATAACTTTTTTTTTCTATTTCTGGAAGCAATGAGTAAAAAGATATTTGTAACAAACAGTGGCTAACAATGGTATTTAATCCTCAACAAAAATGTATTAACATTATTAAAATATACTTCAAATTTCTTTGAAACATTTTCTCTCTGGTTTTCATTTATCATTAAATAAAATAATAAAGAAAATTTGTGAATTTCATATAGATTTTCAAAAAATAATATACTAATAAAAGCTTTTCAATATCGACTCTGATTGGTTTGAATATTTGTGGTTGAAAATTATAGAAATATCTATATTTTCTAGCCTTTTTACATTTTGCTTGTTATCATTTACTGTCATTTCTTTTTCCTGTCTTTTTTGTAGGACTGGAGAGGAGGGTAGTTACCATCAATAAACATTTACATTACAAAACAATGCAGAAAAAAGCATTCCAAATAAAACTTTAATTCTCTTTTTTTTTGTTTAAAGTGCAGTATTATTGTAAAAACAAACTACTTTTTTCTTGATTAGATCTAGTTATCTACATTTCTTTTTTGTTTAATCATTTTACCCCAAACAATGCAATAGAACAACTAAGATTGCAAGGGGTTACTGTGTGTGAACAAATATGGGAACAAGAAAAGCATTATTAAACATTATTTAAAATCAAACAACTTTTCATTGTTCAGTCAAAAATGAAAAATATACTATCAGAACTTAGTAGCAAACCATAACATTCTTCTTGAGGTTCTTGAGGCATGAGATATATAAGACAATTGAAATATAGTAAATGTGCCAAATTAGTATACAAACTAAAAATCAATTTGTCATTTTTGCCAGGAATAAAAATGATGAGGTACTGCTATTATCTTTTTTGCATTGTCTGCATGACTAACTGACACTTCATTTATAACATCTTCATTGATTACTATTGCTTCATATTTTGCACAAATCATTCTTTTTTCATAACAGTGCTTGCATAAATTACTGGTTGCCTATTCTATATCTTTAATTATCTCCTAATATCTACAAAATTATTTTTTTATTCATAATTTCTAAATAATTGACAATTTATGTCTTTTATTTATTACAAGCCTTATTTGTGGTATTTACATGTCTGTTTTTATATTTACATAAATTATGATATTCTCCCTGATAATTTTAGCATGAGTCATTTTACCCAGGATTCTAATAGATATAATATCATTAATAACATGTCATAATCTTATTAACAGTTTCTCTGTAATTAACCAAACTTAATTCATAATCTTTCATAATATCTTCATAACATACAATTATAAACAATTAATACACAAAGCTAGTTGATATATAACTTTAAAATATTTATTCTTAAACCACTTAACACCTGAATTAAAGCCAATGAATTCTGCTTTTTAACTAATTCTTTGTATCTAATATTTGCTAGTGAGGATAGTGTCTTACAAGGTAAGATTAATTATTAACTCTTGTTAACCAATAAAGATTATTAAACAGATGTGCTATTAACTAACAATCTAAAAAGAAAACCAAAGAAATAAGATTTAATTTCTTGAATATAACAAAATAAGCATTGAAAAAGAAAATATCAGTTGTTTTCTTGTTTTTTGTTTATTTTTTATCATCTTTGATTAATAAATATTCAAAGTTGAATTGTTTTCTTGTATTTCTTTCTCTTCACTCTCTCTGCATACCTATTTGCCTAACTAATTCTCAGGCCTACCAGTCCATCAAAAGGAGCCTTACCATCGTTGGATAAAGTCAGTCCAACAAATCTGCCACCTGACATGAATGTGGTACCCGGAGAAGAACCCAGAAAATTTGATTCAACAGGAATGTTTCATTGGTGCCCTGAACGATGTATTGAGGATGTCATAATGGTATGTCTTTTCTAAATTAATATTTACTTCAGTGAATAAATATATTACAAATTTTGCAAGTATAGAAATACATTTAAATGACATATTCAACAGAAATGTTTCAATGGTGCTCTGAATAATACATTGAGGATGTTCTAATTGCAGGTCCCACCTACAATAGTTTATCAATAAGTCAGTAGCCTGATTAGCTGAATTTTGATTTGAAATTTTCTGTTTATAATGTTCAATTATTGTTGAATTAATTTACTTCCTTGTCAATGTACTTGAAAAAGAAATACTTTGTCAAAAAATAAATGCTTTTTTATCATTATAGTACATACTTATTGATGCACCAATATAAATTAGTATTTATTTTAGTGTATATTACAAACTTTACAAGTATATAAATAGATTCCAGTAACATATTCAATGGAAATGTTTCAGCAGTGCACTGAATGATGTAAAACAATTGTAAATCCATTTTAAGTTTTTATTTAAATAAATAAATATATAACATACTTTAAAAGCATATAAATGAGCTAATACTATAGTAGACATGAGGTTTGAAAATCATGCTAAAAGCAATAAAATGATTCAGAAAGAATTATCAGTACTAAAGTAGACTGTCCAACAATTTCTGTAGATATGCATTCATTAAACCTTCTTCAAGACACAACATTTGTCAGAATAAAAAATGAATTTTTATCAGTTGAGACTGAGGGCCTTTATATAATATCAATACAATGTAAAATCATTCCCTGACTTTTTAAAGAGTTGTTGGACTTAGTTGTTCTGCATACAAAAACATAATATTTTTCTTTTACAAAAATAGGAGGCACGGTGGAGTAATGGATAGCAGCTCGGATTGAGGAAGTGGAGATCCAAGTTCAAATTCCAGTTGAATCCATTACATTCACTTATGTGCTAATACTCTTGAGAAAGGTATGAATCCTCATCTTCTCCCCCCAGCTATGTTCTGTAGCCTTGGATGGCAGCTGGTGTAATGCAGAAAGAAATGGCAACCTACTGTGGGAAAAAATCTGCCTCATCAGTCATGTATTGAAAGCTATATGATTGCCTCAGCCTGTATTATGCATGGCACATAACTGACTGACAAAAATGTTTGTTTAATACAGAACAAATATACATAAACACACACACACATATATATATATACATACATATATATATATATATATATATATATATATATATATATATAAGCTTAGAATACACCTTTTGGACTTTGGCCTTCAGTGTCTTATGTATGTAAAAGTTATAAGAATTTAGAAATAATAAAATTATTTGATCTTTATTCAACACCTTAATTCAGCATAATCTTTCTTCATTTATGCAACTGATCTCCATAATTTGTTTGCATTGATTTTGCGTGCAATTTTTATTTTATTTTATTTTATTTTCACCATTTTTTATGATTCCTTCACATAAAGTCACTCTTAAAAGACATTAGGGAATCAGAAGTATGTAACATTTTGAATACATCACAGTACGTGTGCTAGAAAAAAACCCAAAAAACATGAGTATTGTACCATGCCCCGCTTAAGTTTGTTTTTATTATATCATTATAAGGAGAGTTAAACTAGATTATGTTTCTTTTGTTTTTGAGTGTATTGTTTTTAATTATGTTTTCTAATTTAGTCGAATAACCACTTTTTCTTAATTCTGATTCATATATTTTTTATTTTCATTAAATATTTTTATATTGCTAGAATTAGTTGCAATTCTTTTGTTAAGAGATATTGGTATATGTTTAAATATATTAGGAGGGTGATTTGAATTTTTGTTTATATATATATATTGGATTATTATTTGCTTTCCTATATGGTTTGTATGTATTATTTAAATTAAATGTTATGTCTAGAAAATTTGCGATTTTTAGGTTAGTTTTTATGTCAATTATAAATCCTAAATTATTAAATATTTCTATTATTTGTTTTCTTATATTTTCTATTATACTACCATTATAATTTCTTATAATTATTAGACCATCATATGTATATAAACCTGTATCCTCTTTATTAATAATAGTTGATAAATTATTTAAGATACTTGTGCCTGTGATTTCACATAAAAAGTGCCATCATAACTGCCCATTGTTACCTCAAAGTTCTCATTCTTGTTGTTACTATTGAGTTTTTTATCCATATTTTATTGTTGTAGTATAGTAATGATTTTCAGCAACGGTTGATTATGCTTAATTCCTCGTCTTGAAAATTTAAGTATTGTTTTGCTAAATTTAATGCTTTATCTAATATATGCTTAATAATACATGTATTTGTTAAATCTTTTATATTTAATTATTAATTTTCATAATTATCTAATTGTATAAAAGAGCAATTTTTTATGTGTAAAAATGTTAAAGTAATTAATTTCACTATATATATATATATATATATTAAGGCATGTGTTGTTATAGACTATGGATTTTTCTGTTTAATAATCTTTTTTGTTTTTTCTTGCTTTCTCAAAAGTTTTTTTTTTATATTTGGGTCTAAGTTGTTGAAATAAGACCTTGTCCATGTTGTTTTGCCAAACACTTTTAGTTATCATCAAGCTTCATCATAGCTGTATGTTTTGATTTGAAATAGGTTGCTTATTATTTTAGTTTTATAGATAATATTTTGGGTATTTAGACAATGTGGTTGGATTAGTTCATTATTAATAAGTAGGGGGTTGGTGTTTTATTCATTTGATGATTAGTTATTAAATATGTTTAAGGTGTGTGTGTCTATATATATATATATATATATATATGCATGTTCCTTATTGGAAAGTGCTGAATGTCAGTGATAGAGCTATCGCAAAAGCATGAAACCCAGTTTTACAAACTTGTATCCATACAACTAATATATATATATATATATATATATATATATATATATAATGAAATTGTATAGTAAAATGAAATATACCAGCACAAATAAGTGCTAGTAATGGAATTTTCGCAGGTTCCATTCTATATGATTAAAGGAAATAGACATTATAAAAACCTTTTTGAAAAACGTGATATGGAGTATATGAATGTATAAGTATTTAATAGATGTTTACAATTTATCTCCCTTAAAATGTAAAAAAAAAAAAGTTAACTTGACAATCATAGCATTTCTATAGGTCAAGCTAGTAGAGTTATCTCCCTTACTCTAGTAATTTGTTTATGCAGTGTTATCTCCCTTGCACTTTCGCGTTATTTATATTTTTAGACATTTAAGGCTTTAAATGTGAAAATCCAATAATAGTAAGGAGCTAAAATGAACTGCCATTTTTTTATGACATGTATAAACTAGTTAGAAAATAAAAACCTATTGAGAAAATGGTCCAGATTTATAATTAAATATTTGTATCATAACACTGAATTATGAGAAAATAATGTAGGGTTGTCAGCAAAAAAAAAAATCATCCAAAGATGCAAACTACAAATTGAAGACACCAAAATGAGGCAAGTACAAAAAAAATGCAACACTGAAATCTGAAGATGAATTAGACTAGTGAAAGGCGCCTTGCAAAAGTTAAGCAAAGTATTAAGAAACAAGAAAATTTTGTTAGGAACAAAGGAAAGAGTACTAGACTGTTATGTAATATTGGTCCTCCACTGCTGGACGTTCTCCTCACAGATTAAGGAAAAACTTGAGGCAACAGAAATGTGATTCTGCAAAAAGATGCTGAGAATAACATGGACTGAACATGTGAGTAATGAAGTTTTAAGGAAAATGGAAACAAAAAGGATACTTAGAATTATTGTCCTGTTAAATCTCTCAGTAATTTATAAAAACCCTGTATTAATATTAAACAGTGTGTTAGATTATTTTGTGATTGTAAAAGAATTAAATTGTACTTGCTTTTGTAACCAAGTGACTTTAAATATATTATCCTTAAGATGAAATCATGCTCAGCATATCTCCAATTATAATCAATGCTTAAATTTAAATTAATGAAATATTTAAGTTTAAATGACTTTATAACTTTTATATGAAGTATTTCAATAATTTAATTTTTTTTTTTCCAGGATCGAAGCCAAGCAGCCTTAACAGTGCTTTGCAATCACGTTGTAGTATGTCTGTTCGCAGAGGCAACATCACCCCTTATTGGGTTAAGAAATTTAGTTATGCCTCTCCGAGCCAGTAATTTTCACTACCATGAACTGAAGCATGTAGTTGTTGTTGGAAATTTAGAGTATCTGTATAGAGAATGGAAGATGCTCCAAAACTTTCCCAAAATTTCCATACTGCCTGTGAGTATTTTCTATTTCTGATTTTATTTGGAAAATTCTGCTCCAGTTTAAATATTTGGACTTTATATTGTTTGAGATTTGATTTGCAAAATGAATTGAGTTTTGATAAAGAAAAAAAAATTGTTTATTAGGAATCATAACTGATAGATTTATCAGCAAAAGAAAGAATCCAAGATGTGAACTAAAAATCAGAGACACCAGAATGAAGCAAGTACGACAATTTAAATATCTAGGGAGGTTTTTAATAAAGGACGAAAAATGCAACACTAAAATCTGAAGATTCATTAGCATAGCAAAAAATGCCTTCCAAAAGTTAAGCAAAATATTAAATAACAGGAAAATTTTGTTAGAAACAAAGAGTACTGGATTGTTACATAATATCCATCCTCCTATATGGTAGTGAATGCTGGAAAGTCTCATCATAGAGACAGAAATTCTACAAAAGGATGCTGAAAATATCATGGACTGAACATGTGAGCAGCAATGAAGTTTTAGAGAATATGGAAACAAAAAGGACACTTATACTTATCATCACAAAGAGAGAGTTGAAATTTCTAGGGCACATAGTGAGAAAAGGACGCTTAGGAAATTTGAGACTCACAACACATATTGAATGCAAGAGGGACAGAAGAAAACAGTACAAAACCTACCTAATGAGCTTGTGTAAATGGTTGACAGAACAGGAGATATAGCAAAAAGATGAATTTTACTAAGAGCTATAAAGGACAGGAAATTGTGGAGAGACATAATTGGGACTCACTACTATAGTAATGGTCTGCAAATCTAATTTGTTAACCATTGTTCAATGGCAAGGTTTCCATACCTATATGTACAATACTCTCTAGGTTAATGAAACTAGAAATTACCTGATACAAGATATCCTTTATCATATACAGCAGAACGATAACAATCCATCCCTGTGAATTGAATAAAGGGTTTTCAAAATTCCCAAAAGGTTAGTGAACACAAGGACACCTGAAGCAGACTGGAGATTGCTATGACCAAAACATTAACTGTAAAAATCAAGGGATGAGTTTGAATAAATCAGTGTATAATAATTATTAATTTTAGCAATTCTGCCAGAAATATCTCATTTAATTTACTTTTTTCAACAGGGAACACCATTAAACCGAGCCAATTTGCGTGCAGTGAACATTAATCTGTGTGATATGTGCGTGGTTCTGTCTGCTAAAGATAAAAACCTGGATGATCAGCACTTAGTGGACAAAGAGGCCATTCTCTGCTCGCTTAACATCAAGGCAATGACATTTGATGACAGTATTGGACTTATTCAGGCTTCAGCCCCCACAGGTAATTTATCCAAACATTTTAAAACTTTTTGTTTTTTGAAAATTGTCAAATTTTAATCCTATTTATATCAAAGGTAAGATTGTTAACATAAACTAAATTTCATAATATGAAATAATATTCACTTCACTTGAGATTTTAAATATAATAAATTCATGCAAACGTTGGTAAGTAAAAATCTACCAGTGATTTTGTTTTGTATATATTATTTGAATATGATAACTATGAACATCACATTAGGAAAATAGTTTTAGTTATGAATTATAGGGATTTTATATATTTGTTTGATAATGACTGTCAGTTGTAAGTTTCTCAGTAATTGAGACAATTTCTATATCTTCAAACTCTTGTTTATAGGAGACAGAATAGGAAATAGAAAAGTCTGTAAAAAAAAAATAGTGTGTTTTAATATATATCTTTCTATTTTGATTTTTGTGTAGGCTTTTTGCCTCCTGGCTTTTCTCCAGTTGGTAATCAACAGCACACACCTCGTAGAGGTTCTATTTGTGGATCAAATGTGCCACTCATAACAGAGTTGGGTGAGTTTGAGCAATTGTTTTTCTTGCCTATTGATTTTCTTTTAAAACTAAAACTGTGCCACTTAGAAAAAAAATCTAAAATTACTGATTTTGTCTGAGGTTTTGAAACAAGGTGTTAGTACTATTAAGATTATTAATTACTTTTAGTCTTCATCATCAGGTACCATTATGAATTGATCTTTTTGAGCCAGGTTCTTCATTTTGTTTTTATCACACTTTTTTGGATGCTGTACCTTCTGCTCTTAGTTTTTATTGATTGATTGATTTGATTTTTTATGGTCTATCAACCTTTTGCAATCCTACTAATTAACCCATAGGTCAGGGAAGATAATGATGATTCATACCTTTCCCAAGGTTATTTGCACATAACTGAGTATTATGAACCTGAGTGGAATTGGAACTTGGCTCTCTGTTCTACTTCAGGTGTCTGCTGTAACCTTCCAATTATGGTGAATAGAACACTTTGATTTATGGAGAATTTTTTTTCATTCCATTACCTGTTACATTGAGTATCCTTCCAAGGAATTTAGGTACTTGTAATCATTCTCAATGACAGAAGAAAAGTGGATTAGTTGACTTGTATACATCTATATTATTTTGATCTGAGTTGTCAGTGTATTACCATAATATAATAAAAATGGCACATTGAAGCATGTTTTTTTTCTTTTGACTGTTAAATTGTCATAACTTGACATAACTGACCCACACACTTGATTTCATGACCTTCCTCTCTGACACATATGGAATGAGACATGCAGAGTCCAGTTATGAAATTGCAAAAGACTGCCACTGACTCTGTTATAATTTCAAGTGGCACCTTTTGTAGCATGTCTACCATGGATAACCCTCTTCATCTGCTGGTTCAACTGTTGAGATCTGTTGTAACTGTCATCTGCTTGTGCAACCATTGAGGTCTTTGGGTTGTTCATACTTAGACTGGGTCCTTGTCTTCAGCTTTGCTGCCAATAAAATAATGGATAGCTTTATTTTGTAAAAAATTAATGATAGCTTTATTTTGTAAAAATTTTAAATTTAAATGTAGTTGGAACTTGGTTAATTACTGAGTATTTTCCCTTGTTTGTTTGTTTATTTGTAAATAATTATAATATAAATTTTATAAATAGGACATGTTTTTACATTCAACTTAACAGTTACCTTTAAACTAGTTTAGTTTTAAAAAATATAAATGCTTTCTGTAACTTTATAGAACCTTTTTTTTTATTCTCTTACAGCAAACGATTCCAATGTGCAGTTTTTAGACCAGGATGATGATGATGACCCAGATACTGAACTGTACATGACTCAACCATTTGCCTGTGGTACTGCATTTGCAGTTAGTGTTCTGGATTCTCTAATGAGTACGGTAAGTTTGTATATCTCACTCTCACTTTTTGGCAATTATAGCTGTAACAGACTGACAGTTGTTAAATTGAGGTATACTATTGTTATCAAAATATGCTAACTTGATATTTTCTTTATCACAAACCTTACAAAAATTTGCACCTGAGATTTTGATATACTCTTAATCTGATGGTTCCCCACCTCACCACATTATCCAAGGTTTCACTTACCTGCAGTCAAGCCAAAGATAATCAACTCATAAGTTTAATTTAATAATGGTCCCTGATCACAAGAGTAATGATACTGGCAATTTGGGTATGTCAAAAAGAAGCCATGATGTATTTCCTTTGAGTGAAAGGGTGAAAATTCTTGACTTGTTATAATTGTTCTCTTTTATGGTTAGTTATTATTGTTGTTGTTAATCCCTGATTATGTCTAATTTACATAATAGGCATATAAAATAGAAAACAGTATATACAGTGGTCAGTACTATCCTCATTTTCAGGCTTGCACTTTGTGAAACAAATCTTTCATGGATAAAGAAAAACTAATGTTTTTTTTTCTTTCTTTTTTTGCATTTCCTTCTTCACTAATTTCCATTGGTTTATTCTGTTCTTCATAGGAAGTTTTGAAGGTTTCATAATTAACAAATCAGCAACAGACTTTGCACCAGATAATATTAAACTTGTAGGAGAAGCATCAAGCAAAAATGCAAAAGATGAAGATGTCTTGAAAAAATTATTAAATATCCAAAAAATTATTTAAATGTTAAACATTTAGTACAAAACAGTAGCTTATGATCTCTCATTACCTACTCAGATATAATATTTAAGCATATTTAAAAATGAATTTTAATAATTTGTTCATGATTTTCCTCATTGCATATTTTAGCCAAGGTTTTTTTTCCCCGCTATAGTGTAGCTACTTATTTCAATAACATTAAATGCTTATCTATAAATACACTAAATTATTCTTAATGTTTTCTCCTATATTGATTTTTTTTTAATAATTCCTTGACTCTCAACATTGTTTTGTGAACACATTATTTGTTAGAATTATTCTTAAGTTGTAATTAAGCTTTAAGTTCTTGACTAAGCATGTTTAACTGTTATGTATATTTTTTGTGATATCATTTTCTTTTCTCCTATATTACAGAGCTATTTCAATGACAATGCATTGACTTTGATTCGGACTCTTATCACTGGTGGAGCCACTCCAGAATTGGAACAGATTCTAGCAGAGGGGGCTGGAATGAGAGGGGGTTATAGCACCCCAAGTATCTTAGCCAACAGAGACAGGTGTCGGGTTGCACAGATCTCATTATATGAAGGACCTCTTGCCCAATATGGGGTAAATTATCATACTTTATAAATACATTTTACTTTTTACATTTTTAGTGGATGATTTTGTATAATTGTCTTTAATTATATTTTTATTTTGATGGTAGAAAACTTTGAAGTGTTTTTAGATCTAAACTTTTTTTTTACATTCTTGAATATTTGTTGTTTAATTCTTGCAGTGATCAAGATTTAATTTATTCATCAATAATTTTATTGCTTCTGCTTTAATTTATCAAACAATTTGTCAAATTTAACAAATTTTATTAAATGAAGAATTTCAACAAAACAAATGTTTAGTGTGAATTTTTGTTACCTTATTTAATTTTTAGGTATCCTATATTTATCCTGCATATCTCTGTTTGTTAGCAAAGCCAGAATCTTCTTTATGGCTTATTTTCAGGAATAGTTTGTCAAATTTTAATAAAATTTGCAAATTTTATCAGGTTTAGAACCAATTAGGTTTGGTATATGTAGTCAATTTTCTTTTTGTCTATTTTACATTTTTACTAGAAAAGTCAAATTTAGATATTTTTGTCTGTTGTATAATAAAATTGGTGGGTTCTTTTTATTCCAGAAACTAGTTTTTCAGTACAGCAGCCTAAAAAGAAAAAGATTATTACATTTCTTTTCCTCACCAAAAGAAAACATAAAATGTTTGGTCTTTTTCATTACTTTTCACCATACAAACATAACTCTAACCCTGGATTGGAAACTAACAAAACAAACCTCTAACGTAACAACAAGTACTGTTTATGAAAATTTTGGTTTGGCAGAGACTAAAGAAAAAGCCCTGCAAAATAATAGTTTTCTATACTGCTGTCTTTACTTATTTCATACTTTTGGCAGCAATAGCCTATGTTCCAGGTCAAATTGCAGAAATTTGACAGCTTGATTGATCTAATTAAAGAGATATACAAAACTGAGAGAACGGTTGAAATGTATTAATTCTTTTACATCAAATTGCTTTTAAAGTTTGAACCTAAACTGAGTTTCTCATTGTCAAGAATAAGAAAATGCAACATAACCATTTTTTTTTGTTCTTTTTAGGCTTCCATATTTTAAACTTATAGATGTTAGCTTTTTGTGGTGGCTAATAAAAAAAAATCAGAACTACTGAAGAGTAATTCAATTTACTGGCAAACTTTCATAGAACAGAATAATATTCAAATAATATATAGATATAAAAATCAATAGTAATGTGCTGTGTTTACGTCTCTCAATGGATATTCTTCATTGTTCCATTGTATTTATCTTTATTTATTTTATCATTTATTTTTACTATGTTAAAATTTGCTAATAAAATATAAACTATTTGCTAATAAAATATAATCTTAAGCTACAAAAATATTTAGTTATCTAGAAACATTGATCGACCAAACAGCTACTGTGATGATTTTGGTTGTTGATAATTTAGTTTTTTTATAAATTAAAGAATACAACAGAGATTTAATAGATGAATTTTATATTTTATTTGGTAGGATAATCTTTTTACTTTCCTTTTATAACATTTTAAATAACAAATTTCATGATTAATTGAAAACTGGATACAGTTTTTATGTAATTATAATCAATAATATATTTAAAATATATATATTTTTTATATATTTTAGGAGAGAGGTCGTTATGGAGACTTGTTTCTTGCAGCTTTACGAAACTATGGCATCCTTTGTATTGGTCTGTATCGGTTCAGGGACACAAGTGCTACTGTTAAAAGTCCATCATCTAAGCGTTATGTTATAACTAATCCATCTCAGGACTTCCCCTTATTGCCAACAGACCAGGTATGCACATTTTCAGAATATCAGTCTATCCATCTTGTGTTTTGAATCTTTGTTTATTTTTCAAAATAATAAATATTATTTTGATGAATAATTCTACAATCATTGTTGATGATTTCTATCATTATTTTAAGTAAATCTCCATCAAATGTAAGCATTGATGGTGCTTTATAAACTTAACTTTCATTTATTTCTATGACCTGCAATGCAATTATTTATTTTCTGGAAAATATGCCAGGTTTTATAATATCACATTTTTAACACTTGTCAAATTTATATTGTTCTGTATTAATTTTTTCTTTATAAATGTCACTTTTAATTACATATAACATTACACTATACATTTTATAACAATAATGATGATAATAATAAATTTATGTCCTCTGTTGTATCGCTTTAAAAGAATTTCTAAATGTATTGCTTATTTTAATATTTATTTTCACATTTGAAATTTTTCAGGTGCAGCTTTTTAAGTTTTAAAACATGTAATGAATATAATCGGTCTTATGAAAAATATTGTTTGAACAAAGATTTAAATTAAAAAGGAAATTCTATTTAATCTTTTATATTGAATATGCATTCTTGAAATATTAAACTTTGAAAACGTTAGATAATGTATAATTTTTTCATTGATAACACAATTTTTTGAACTTTTATTGGGGATTATGTCCCTTGCTTTGGGAGTAGCTATAAATGGCTAAAATTTATTAAATTTAAGTGTTGAACCAATAATAATTGAAAACTATATATATATATATATATATATATATATATATATATATATATAGATAGATAAAATTTAAATAATTAATTTCCTTTATTTACTAGCTTTTTTTGTTTTGATTTTTTTTTTTTTTTCACAAATTCAGTTGGGTCATTGAAGAAATGTAGAATGTTTCCAAATACATGATTGATTGTTCAGCACACCATTTGCTGAAAATTTTAATTAGAGTTTAATATTTATTTTTAAGTCCTTCACTTTAACTCATATTTGGCTGGCTTTGCTAGGAAAGTTCTTTGAATTGAATATGACTTAGAAGGTATTCAGTAGTTAAGTGTTAAAAGAATATATTATAGTTCATCAGAATTTTCAATATATTTTATGTTTTTGTTTTATTTCTTTAAAATTGTAACAATTCCTAGCCAATAATGGAGACAGGCTACATTAGTCTTGCTTTTTGGGGGTTTTTTTTCAGTTTCTAAAAGGTATAACTCAGTTTACAAATAATCACCCTTCCTTATTTTTTCTTAAAATAAAACAGCAGTTCACTTTATTTTGGTATATTTATATATTTTATATATAAAATCTATTATTTAAAAGCTGTTATATTTCTTTGATTTTATTATAATCAATTAAGTCTTACCATAGCTTGCTAAAATGTTTTAGATTAGTTTTTGCTATTAATTAGGATTTGGGCTTATTTGATTACATAAATACATTTTCCACATCAAAAAGCATGAAACAACAACAAAAAATGTTACAAAGTAATCTTCAAACATTGTATGGAAAACCTCAGAAGATTATAATAATTTACTATCCTTGGTATAAATAAAATATCATATGCAAAATATCAGTATTGAGTTTATAAAAAAGTGTTTATGCCATTTGAAAAAATTCAAAATTTACTGAAACAAGAAACAAGATTGACAAAATATAAGAAAATATTTGAGGATAAAATTTTAAGATTGTAGGTATATTATTTTTTTTAAAGTAATTTTATTTTTTAACTATTCTATAATGACATATCAGATTTTTTTCCTTTAAAAACAAGAATATAATCAAAGATGAAATCATTTATTTTCAAGTAAGATAACATTTAAGAGAAGAAAACAAAATTAATTTCATGATAGATTTAGCAGTGACATATTTTATCTGCCTCTTCGTAAGGACAAAATGTGACACAAATTTAATGTAGAAGTAGAAGCCACCATATGAATATGTGTTGGTAAAGTCATAAATTTTCCAGTTCCTGCAGTCAACACCACAAAAATATAACTTCTAACACAATAGAGAGGTGCTACCCCATGTTTGGAATCTCCAGATCCAAGCTTTACTTCCATTATGTCGCACCTTGCCTGAAGATGAAATACATGTCAGCCATCTAGGAATATATTTGATATTAAATGGCTGTTGACTTGTATCTTATAGATTAAATTGTACAGAAAGAGTCTACTGTATTAAATAAAGTGAGAAAGATGCTGCTACTTAATTATTATCATTGTTATTTTATTGACATCATTAATAATAATTGAAGGAAAAATGCTCTTCTCAATAAAGCAAACAAAAATTATTTTTGCAAATATTTTATTTGTATAAAATTTACCATGAAACAACTGCTGAAATGTTTTAAGGAGCATCTATTTTTTCTCAGGAATGATCATTGCAAAAAATATTTCTGTAGCATTAAATAATCAAACAAAATATATATTGTTCATACAAGGATGGATCAATAAATCCATATCCTAATTCATAAATTTTAATTGAATTTTAATCTAAAGTTTTTACTCAATGTTGAATCTATATGATTAATATTCACCACTGAATTAAATGCAGTGACAAAGAAGGAGATTATGTTGAAAAATATGTTTTATCACTAGGCTATAAACTTATTGATGTATCTGTGTATAAGCAAAAAAAAGTTCTTTTCTCTCTCTCTCTCTCTCTCTCTTTATTTTACATACTTTATCAGTGTGGATTATTGCTCTTTCATTTTCATTCTCTTGTGCTCTCAGTGGGGCCTAGAATGCACTGTCTCAGGTATAAACCTGAAAAATGTTTGCTTTTTTTTTACTCCAATGTAAACCAGACACATTTCTTCCTTTTTGGGTAGCTGTGCAGGTGGCATAATGGATAATTAATTGTTACAGGAATTATAGCAAAGTAGCAAATGTATTTTGTATGTCATATTTCTTGCCATATAAAGTACACATTTTTTCCCCAAAAAATTGTCCTCCAATATTCACTCTTCCTCTTACAGTTATACCATAATGTTTAGGTTTGGGTATTAGACTAACACCAAAACATTACTGTGTGATATACTAAAACCTTATTATTCAAGAATTAAATATATACAACTAAATTATTACAAATCAAAATAATATTAAAATATTTTTAAAAAGTAACAATTACAGACAATTGTTAATAGACTTGAGATAACAGAAATATGATTCTACAGAAGGATACTGAAAATACCATGGACTGAACATGTGAGCAGCAATGAAGTTTTAGAGAAAATGGAAACAAAAAGGACACTTATACTTAACATCAGAAAGAGAGTCGAAATTTCTAGGGCATGTAATGAGGAAAGAGGGCTTGGAAAATTTGGCACTCACAGGACATATTGAAGACAAGAGGGACAGAGAAAAGCAGTGCATAACCTACCTAAAAAAAACTTGTGTAAATGGTTTGCAGAATATGGATTACGAGATATAGAAAAAAAAGACAAACTTTATTAAAAGGTACGAAGTACAGGAAGTTCTGGAGAGCCGTGATCACTCACGTCCTAAAGGGGCACAGCTCATAGAAAAAGTTCTCCTAAATATTATTTACATGTGTTAAAAAGCAAGAAATAGGGTATATTTTTTAACTTTGTTGTTTAATTATTTATTTCCTTTACTTTTTCATTTACACTCATTACACATAATTCAATATGTTTACCTGTAAATAATAAACTTTAATTACACTGTAAAAATGGCATTCAGTCACGTTCTACTTTTATGATATTCTCTTCTGAAGTTTTGTATGTCTTTCATAGTAATTTATAGGAACCATTACTTTTAGTAGACATAATGAATACTGTGAATAGTAGAAATGTAATATGAAACAATAAATGGTATTATAAAATATTGTTGGATATCTTTTAAGATCAATACACAAATTGGTTCTCTCAGCATTTACTTTCTTTTTTTCCATTTTTTTTATAGACAATCCGAAAATAAAAATAAATAAGTAAAACAATTGATGTTTTTTGCCCAATGATTGGTAGTTTGAGCTAATTTAGTTCTTCAGATATTTTGTATCCTATTTTTCTGATTAAATCAGATATATCAAGGATTTTAATTTCTTTTACAAATATAAAAGTTTCAATGTGAATAAAAACAAATCATTACTTAATTCTATCCTCAAAGTGTTTGGGATAAGATTAAAGAAAGTATTTAGACTTTTGAACATGTGGTAATTATAGTTTCTCTAATAATAAGTAAATTGTTAATATGACATGGTCAGTGATACATCAACATAATTGTTTATACTGGTGAGCTTTTGATCTTAAGATCCCTATTTGACATTTATAATCCAATAAATTAAAGAAAACATTGTCTATTTGTTCTCTATAAACACATAAATTAAAGAAAACCTTTGAAACTAATTGTTTCTTAAGTTTTTAAAATATTGCTTTAGAAAATTATGAAGACAATAGTCTGAATGTAGATCGTTGTGTTTGGGTCTATCATTCCAACCCTATAAAAATCCACTTATTAAGTTGGTTAGGATGCAAGCTGAAGGACTGATCATATCTGGAAAATTTGAAATAATGAGAACTGAATGTATCTTACATCAAACTGTACTCAAATGATGATTTCAAGGATGATTTCTGTAGTGATATCAATCTTTCTTAGGTATAATGTAATTCAGTTGTCTTGTTTAGTTAATTTCTTAACATCTTGTATAAATTTCTTTTTTTTTCCCCTGATATTGTTACTTTGACATAATAGAAAAATGTAATAACACTGATCAAAATTTAGTTCAGTGATAATAATGTTTAAAAAATTTATAATGTCATAAGAACATCTTTAGAAATTGTTCATTGTGTCCTGTTTGTCACCTCGTATACATGTCAGGTTCATCTTTGTCAATTATGCTAGTTTATTACAAACAAAATTCCATAAGTTAAATTTTTAATATGAGATATATTTTGCTACAGTAATAATCTTACTTTGCCCACAAGTGTAAAGATTCAGTATTAAGATTTATACTATGTATATACCAATTCAATGCTGTACTTCAGTACTTAGCTGAAGTAATAAAATCTTCACTTTGTCTTCTGGCTTTTTTTTTTACATTCAAATATTACAAAACACATGCAAATTTTGTAATAGGCCTGGGTCAGATGGGAAATGTATATACGATTTAAAACTGATTAAGTATTTTTGTATTCAGTGTTAAATAAATATGATTTATTTTTGTATATATAGTAATTTTCTAAAGAAGTAATAGATTTTTTATTTATTAATCTGATAGATTTTTATCACTTAAAACATTATTTTTAGTGGATACTCATATTTGAGTAGATGCTCTGTTTATTTATTAAACAGTATATTTATTTATTTTCATCTGCCGGTCTGAATATTCGAGAAATTTTATTAAAGATAAATGAAGTGTCTACTCAAATATGAGCATCCACTAAAAATAACTTTTGAAGTGATAAAAAAGTTTATATATATATATATATATATATATATATATATATATATATATATTGTGTACATGAGCTATTTACAACAGAACATGAATAATTTTTTTTTTTTTTTTTTTTTATCATTTCACCCCAAGCAAGGTGCCAATGCTACTAGACTGCAGAGGTTACAAGAAGTGAAAGAGAATGAGAAGATTGAGAGTGGGGAGGATTGAGGAAAGGACAAAAAGGGAACAGGGTTCAAGAAGACAGAAGATGGTGATTGACATTACATTTAGATTTTCGAATATTGTAGTTATCAGAGAAGCAAGAAACTGGGAGGGATTTCTATAGGTGGGAAATATGAGAAAAGAAACTGCTAGAGTAGAAGTGGCAGTTGCATTTAGCTAGTTCAACAGTGAGACCTAGTTGCCAATCTAGTAGCATGCATAAATTTGTACGGTTGGGGCACCCAGAAAAAATGTTTGTCAGATCAGTTACCACATTTGCTAGCCACATTTGCCTCTACCTAGTGAGAGTAACTTACAGAATGATTATTATTTGATATGAGTTTTTTACAACTTCAGAAAAAAATTTTCATAAAGAGGACAAAAAAAATGAATAGGAAATAGTAAAATAACTTTTGATTTTATTTTACCTTTTTGTATGAAATGGGGAAGTCATGACATTTGGTAAGAATGGCACAGGTTTGCTCACTATTTCCAATCAAATTTTCAACATTTGCTTTAATATCAAATATAACTGTTCTCTTATTAGATAATCTGTGCTTTGGGACCCAATACCAAATATCTGTCTGAAATCAATCCTTTATCACCACCAGAAAAACCAAAAGAGGTAATACTTTAAAAAAAAAAAAAAAAAAAAAAAAGAAAGTTCTTACACCTGCATTATACCCTACCTTATAACACTTTCACAAGCTACTAAACATTTCTTGATATTCATAATATGAGTTTTTAATCAGCTAGAAGCAAATCTGCTTCATCATACATGCATTTTTACCCTGCATGCTTGAAAAAAATTTGATTTCTTTATCAAAAAGAAAGAAAATGGAGTTTGTTATCTAAAATGAATCAAATTCAAAATAACATCTGAAATACTGGCTTCATATCAAAAATAAATATTCTAATGCTTAAAAGAGGAATGGTACTAATGGTGGAAGCAAGTACTTAATACGAAAGTGCAAGTACTGGACTGTTATTGCTCTACAAGCAAAATATAATCAAAATGGAAGAGAAGTTGATTTCATTAAAAAGAAGAGATATTGGAAATTTCTTGGAAGAAATAATTTTTTGAAAAAAAAAATCATTGATTTGTTATGAGTTACTATTCATAAATTTCTATCATTCATCATAAACTTACAACTTCCATCTGTAATAATGTAAATTGTTATAAATTGTAAATGGTAGTTACAACATTAAACAATGTACCTCACTTCATTCATTTTACACTATTTGTGTATGAATATTTTTTATTTATATTTTGAATTTTTAATTCATGCAAAGGCTTTTTATACCCTTGTTTGGTTAAACTGTAATCCAGAATTTTATATTTATTAATAATTTATTCCTATTAATATGCAAATAATTCTGTTTGTTCATTTTTTTTTCTTTGAGTGATGAATTAAAATAGATTTTACTTTTAGTATTAACCCAAGATTTCTTGTTAAAAATGAGTAATGTATACATTTTTGTTTAATTAAATGTTATTATTTATCTTTGTCCCCTTTTTTCTTTATAGGCTGATAAATAAATTTGTGTAAAACTATAACATACATGGATGATATAACGATATATAATTTTGTATAATTTTATATTTAGTATTCAGAAAAATATGACAAACTGGAAAAGTTTATTTGTGATGCATTTCATCCGTATGTATTTATGAATTTGAGGTAAAGCATGCATCATTTACAGAAACAGGAAGTAAAAATAAACCTTATAACTGAGATAATACATATGAAATCAACTGACTCTTACATTATTTATACTAGCTTTGCTTACCTGCTTTGCTTAGTAAATTTCACCTCTTTTAATTTCTATATCTATGTCAGAAGTATTACTCATTATACTTATTCAATTTATATCTACCACATAAAGGTCAGTCTATCATTTTGCTGATTAGGAATAAAAGATATTTTTGATTGGTTATGCATACATACATATATACATTATATATATATATATATATATATATATATATATATATATATGCACACACTAATAAAAAAAATAATACATTTTGTTCCTCAACATTTGATACAAGAAAGAAAGTTACAACAAATGGTGAGGAACAAAATGTATATTTATTATTAGTATTTAAAATTTTAGCCCTGTTATTATATATCAAGCACTGTACTATTACTACCAACACTCTCTTGTACACTCTTATATATTAAAAAAGAAACCTTGCAATTTGCCTTGATAAAGTCCATCAGAAGATAAGTGATAAGTTTTCCTTTATTCATATTGCCTTTTTACAGATATATATTTATTTAGTTATATCTGAATTTTTACATACACACTCTGATGCACACAGATCTGTAAAACATCATTACTTATTTTACTACTTGCATACCAGATCATTTTAATAAGATCATTAATTTAATCTTTGCTTATAAAATATTTTCTTTAAATATTTATGGATATTGCTTCATAAATAGATAATGAATTATGTTGCCTTTTTGAAACTTAAGTGTTTATTTGCAAAATTATTTTAAACATAAAAATTAGTAGTAGCAATTAAAAATTATAAAATTTTAAGATAATGTTATACTATTTTCTGTGAATAATTATAAACCAAAAAATAAACTGCAATATTTTCCAAACATTTTATGAATATAGTTAATACACTGACTTATCCTATGAATATTTTTATTAAAAATAAAAACCTTCTTTCCTTTTAATAAACTTATAATCCTGAAACTTTTATTATTACTCATTGCTATTAAAAATTGTAATAAGAGTAATTTTGAATTTTCCCAAATTTAAATTCATCAACATGATATCTAAATGTTTTTTTAAGTTCAATCAAAGTGGTTTTGGTTATAACACTTTTTGAGGATACATTATCTATGTTAATCATGTTTTTCCTGTATAGGGCAACCATTAGTCCATTGTGGTTTTAGTAAAAAAAAAAAAAAAAAAATTCTACTTTAAAATTATTTATTATATATAAAATTTTACTTTAAAATTTCTACAAACGAGGATGGGTACTTCAGTTTATATGTAGGACAAAATCCAAATTTTACTTAAAAATACAATGATGCAGTTTATATATTGGTAGAGTAATCAATATGTTAGTATTGTATATAAAACATTTTATGGTAATATCTCTATTTCATTTTACAGCTTTGAAGTTTAACCTAACAATTGTTGATAAAAAATAAAACTAAGTTCTGGAATTTATTTAAAATTTTTTAAAGCTGTTGATTTTTCAAAAAAAAAAATTAAATATTTCATTTTTCTTTTTTACTCATATAATTGTAATTTTTACTCTCGCAACAACTGTTTCATTCAGATCAGCAGAATTTCATTTTTTATTGATCTTTCAGCTGAAATTCTTAAAATTTATATTTGTCTACACAAACCTTGAAATAATCTTTTTAAAAATGTATTATACACTATCTTTTGTAAGTGTTTCTGTAAATTGTTCAACTTCTACTAATGTACTTAAAAATATTATTCTAAAAGACTAAAACCCACATAGTACAGGACTCTCATAGTTTTCAGACATTAAAAGAAGTTATACTAAAGATCTATACTGTTATGATGTCTTTGACTGAATCTAAATTAAAGATTTCTATTTGTAGCAATCTTCATTGATATTATTATCAAGAAATGGTGTAAAAATTAATTTCCAACCAGGAATGACTGATTTCTTGTTTGTTTTTTTGTTGTTTTTTTTTTTTTCAAAACCTTATGTCTTTTTTATTCCCCCCCCCCTCTTGCTTTAGGATTTGATATTTATCATGAGTGATAAACTTTTGCTTTGCTCAGTAACAAGCTTGTTTTTCTGTTGTTTTTTTTTTTTCTCTCAATTTTTTTTCTTCTTTCTTTGAATTGTTTGGTCTGTGAATTAAGCTTTTTATTTTAAATAAATAAATAAATTTATTAGGTATTTGTTTTTTTATATTAATTACTTAAATAATTCAAAATGATATTTGTTGTATTACTTTGTTTCAGTTGAGATGTTGGTTAAATTAGAACTGTATATATTATTGTCTTTACTTTTTCGATACATCTACATTAAATCTGAAAACCTTATATACAAAAAGACATATTTTTCTTTAGGTAACATGGGTGCAGCCAAATGGGAGGTATCAGCATGTGTTTGGGTGGACAGGATAGCTTTTCGTTGGTTCAACTTCACTTGTCTATCTAGTTTTCATATTTTTATTTGATTGTTTTAATTTCTATTGTAGATATTGTTTTTCGACTGACCATTTCTGAAAATTTGTCTCTGATTGGCCTTGTTTCCAGGTTTTTTCCCTTATCCCGTGCAATTTTTCTGAGAGTCATTCTAAAGGCAAATGGGAGAGAAGTAAGATCCTAAGTCTGGCACTTGCTGCTGCGGTGCATGCTGATATGTTGGTATGATGATAGCCCGCTGCACGCGGTCTGGTAGTCAGTCAGTCACCGTCCATGTGTTTTACCGTTGCTTGCATCATTTTTGCTTCACCAGAAAACACCTGATATAGACCACGTAGCCTGGATGGCCCACTCCAACCTTACACTGTTGATATATGTATTATATATCATATCTTTTTAATTATCTTCTACTTTTTGTTTTTTGATTTTTTTTTATTATGTTTAAATTTTTTTTTTTTGCTTTGACCATATTTTTCAGACAAATTATTAATTTATTTTTTTACAAAGATTTTAAACTCTTTTCAGAGTAAGTACTAAAAAATATTGAAATTAATATAATTTTTTTAATTTCATAACTCCATATCTTGATTTTTATATAAATAAAGTAATTCAATAAATCTAGCATAATAAAGAAGAAAAAAAGCATTTGTTTTACCTAACAAATATTTTCAACATAATCTCCTTCAATGTCAATGCATTTAATTCAGTGATGAATATTAATTGCATATATGTACATTATACAGTGAAAATTTCAAATCAAAATTCAGTTAATACATACATGGCAGGCTGTGAACTTATTGATTTGCCCTTATTTAACTATCTTGCTGTGAATAAGACTTTTAAATAATCATTAAGATTATTCATATTTCTTGAAATATTTCAATAAAAATGTTATAGAAAATGGATTTTATTTTTCAACTTAATTGTATAGAAATTAATATGTTGAAAATTCAGCAGTTGTCAAATTTTGTTTCTTTGAAGAATTTTTCAATCTTTTTGCATATTCTATTGTCTGAAAAATATGGTAATTATTTTATATTCTATATAACAACATATAAAACCAAAGTATTCTATTTCATGTAAAAAAAAATATAATTCACTTGAAGTTTCTTATTGTTACAGTAAAAGCAAATGAAATCTATTGTGCATAAAGAGAACAAATGAGAATTGTAATGAGGTTATCTGTTGTGATGTTATATATACTGTAGTCATATTTTAAGTTAATCATTCAAATTTAATTACTGAAAATATAAACAATATGAAGAAATTATTGCTTACATTTCAAACACTGGTATCATAAAATAATGAATTTTACATTTTTTTTTTTAAATATTTTGATTGATTTTCTAACAAACACATAAGATTAAATTAATACTCTAGTTAATATACATTCAACGCTTTAACTGTTTTATTTGCTACAATCCAAACTTTGCTTACAAAAGTTTAAGTATTGTTTTAGTTTAATTAAATACCAGCCAA